TTTCCAGGGGAAAAAAGATACGGCTATAATGGGGGGGGGGGGGGGGTTTGCGGGGGCAGCCCCCCCCCCCCCCCCGTGAAAGTTCTGATGGTCAGGAAGGGCCACCGGCACGTCTGGTCTCTGGATGGAGGTGACAGACGTGCCCATCCTCTGCTGGGGGGGGGGCTGCAATTTGGGGAGGTGGGTGGAGGGCCAAATGCTTGAGCAGGGGGGGCCAAAATGGCCCCGGAGGCTGATGTAATACGACAGAGGCGTCCAACCTCAAGACTTGTGGATTTCGACGCCTAGAATTCCCCAGCCAGCAAGTCCTAAAGTTCCCAAGGTTGCAAAATGCATCTCCACAAAGTCCACTTCCTGCTGCGGTTTCCTCCCTGGGATGCAGGCAGAAGGGCTCCAAAGGGGTCCCTCTCCCCTCCCCCCTTTCCCCACCCGGACCGGGAAGGGCGAAGCGATGGGTGGGTTGGAGGCGGAATCACGGTTGGCTCCTGTCCGCCCCAAAGGGTGTTTTGTGCCTCTTCCGAAATGGGCAGGGAGCCAGTGGCTGGATCAGCCCCCCCCCCCGGGCTATTTAGCCCCCCCCCTGTAGCCAGTGGGCCCCCCCTCCAGGTGCCTCTCTGCAGCCATTCCGCAGGGTTATCGATTGGCGCTCCCATTCCGCCTCTTTAGAGGCCCTCCAGGGATTAACTCAGCCCCCTCCCCGAGATAAACAGGGCGGTTTATCTGCTAGGGACGCCCCTCCCTAAACAGTATCGATCCCGAAGTTGTTTGCCTGGAAAGTGGGAGGAAGGAAGCCGGCTGGCCTGACCTGGAGCTGAAGGGGAAAAAGAAACATCTCTCGCTTTCTTTCCACTCACCAGAAGAGCCTCCCGGCCTCTGGCAAGCAAAGTCTGGACGTGGCTGGACATTTGGGCCCCATTGGGAAATGAGCGGTGGGGACCTACAGGTCCAGTTTCCCCCCTTGGGGGATGCAAGGGGTTGAAACGTGCTCATTCTTTTTCCTGGTTTCTATATTATATATAATATTCTACGTTACCTTCGTGGCTGTCAATCTGCCTGGAGCTGTCCTCATTTCCCCCTCCCTCCTGGCCTATTCTCTCCCCCCCCCGTGTCCCCTCCTTGGTCTGGAGGGGATCCAGAGTCCCCTCGGCCCCGTTTGGTCCTTCGTCCTGTTGATTGTGGCATGACTCATTCAGCGGCGGACTGGTCATGTAAACAAAGCACCCCTGGCTGTGTCCAGAGAGCTGGCTTTCTGCTGGACAAGCCCTCTGGCTTCACGCCTCCTCGGGGCGTGAAGCCAGGCCAGGCACAACCTGCCCAGGTGGGGTTACCTTGGCTGTCCATGGGCAGAATCCACAGGGACGTGTGTTGTGCTTATTTTCATGGTCATGAGGTGCACTGAAGATGGTGTTTGATTTCGTTGTAGGAGGTGCAATCACAATAAAGTAGACTAATTAATTAACTAACTAACTAAAAGTTGGGTTGGGTTGCTTCATCCCAACTGGCTGTTTTGGACCTCCCTTCAGGTCAGCCCCTTTCCAGCCAAAATATGCAGAAAGTAAAAAAAAAAAAGTGGGGGGGGGGGGACTACGGAGCCTGGGAAAAATAACCATGAATTTGTTTGGAAAGTGTTTCATATGCATTGACACAGGAAATTCCAGCCTTGGCCACTTTAAGACTTGTGGACTTCAACTCCCAGAATTCCCCAGCCTGCTGTGCTGGGGAATTTCAGCTTGTTGCCCAAACTAGGCACCATCCCGAGTGCTCTGATGATGTTACCTAGTTTGGCAATGAGACGTCTGCAAGAAAACAAGCCAGCTCAGAGAGCACCGAGGAGCCCTCAGCGGGAAATCTTCTCCCTTGTTAGATCGCCCTCTGGGCCACGAAGCCCTCGGGTCTCCTGCCACTGGTGCTGAAGACGGTGCTGGCCTCTGTTGGCCTCTGGCAGGGGGCCAAAAAGGGGGCCCACGTGCTGCATGGAGCCCTGTCACCAAGGGGGTGTGTGTGCGATTGCTGCCGACCCCCCCTCCCTCCGTGATGCTCTTCCAGCCTCTCCCACCGGCCTCTGCTAAGTGCAAAGCTTTTAATGCTCTTCGAATTTCCGGATGAGTCAAATGGGAGCTGCACACTTTTCCCCTTCAAGGCCTCTGATTGATGCCAGCCACAACGGGAGGACATGGCCAAGAGCGGAGCCGGGGAGGGCGGAGGGAAGGAGGCGGAGAGGGGCCCCTTTGGCCTTGGCAGGTGTTCTGGCGCTCCCCGGCAGCTGGAAAAGGAGGCCTTTCGGGGGCCCAGAGAAAGGGACCCCAGGTGGCCGTTTCCAAGCAGCCTGGCAAGGAGGGTGGCAACTCAGGGCAATCTTGCCTGTGGGGAAGCCCAGCTCAGCTGGCACAGCAAGGCCTGGGGTGTCCGGGGGCTCCTTTGGCCCTCCAATGCCAGCAGCCATTTAATCCGTGTCCCCAGCCTCGCCGTGGCAGCCACGGGCCGCTAATGGAGGACTGAGGCGACATTCGTGACCTGGGGGCATAGATTAATCCTGCCCGGGGAGGCTTGGCCGAGGAGCCAGGTTGAGCGTTGCAGGAGAACGGGGGTCCTCTATGGCCAGGCAAGGGGGGGGGGGGGTTCTCTGGGCCGGGGGGGGGGGGGGTCTGAGTCTCGCCCAAGGAAGCTGAAGGGCTCCTGGCATCTCAGGTGCTCATGGATCATGGACAGCTCGGGAGGAGCAAGAAGGCTGCCTGACAATTCCCCCCCCCCCCCTTCCGTTCCCCCCCCCCCCCAATTGTCCGACTTTTATCATCTTCCTAGAAAATGCTGCTGGAGATGGGAGCCCCGAGGGAGGCTGGCCAGAGCGGGGAAAGGCGGAGAGGGAGGCTGCCTTGCACACGTGTGTGCAAGCGTGCGTGTCTCTCTCTCTCTGCCCTGGGTGGGGTCTGTGTGGAGCGAGCGAGCGCTATAAAGGACTAAATTTGGCATCGGAGGAAAGCCAGACGAACCGTGCCGAGCGCTCCGCCCTCTCTGGGACAGCTCCCCTTGTTCTGCGCTGGGTTGGCAAGACGGGGCAAGTCTTCAGAGGCTTTTGTGGGCCCCCCCAAGGGCCCCCCCAACCATTGCTGGCTTCTGAGCTGTTCAGGCAGCACCAGGCCCTACGGAGAGATAATTTACTGCTTGCCAGCAAGTCATAAGGACTAGGGACTTGATTTATGGTGCTGTTGTTAGCACATGGAACCATAGAGCTGGAAGGGACTTGGAGGCCTTCTAGTCCAGCCCCCGATTGCCCAGCCAATTCCTGGAAGACTGCTTCCCCGGTGCCGTTCAAAGAGGGCCGGAGACGTGAGGCGAGCAGCCTCTCCCCTTGGCTCTTCCGGTTACAACACGGTGGCAGCTTGGCAAAACCCGTCCTTGGCAGCCGTCCCTCCCGTGGGGGCCAAGGGATTCCGTCATCCAGCTTGCTCTCCGGTGAGGTCATCGAAACTGCTTGGGAGGGTTGAAGGAAAGGGGACCAAGAGGTGCCACTTCTCGGCAGCCGAGCCGTTTCAGTGGAAAGCCAGCCGGCCCCTCCCTCCCATGGCAGGCGGAAGGAGAGGGCCTTCGGATCAGAGCAGAGCTTCCATGTGTTTTTAGTAGGTTTTTTTTTCACGATTTGTTGTTTTATGGCGATGTTTTCATTTTATGTGGGTTTTATTTCTGCCGTGGAGGTTGAAGCTGTTCTCCTCCCCCCACCCATTGAGTTAAGTGCTGAGAGCCTGATTGAAACAGGAGGCAAATGTGATAAAGAAATAAACGCTGCGT